TGGAGACCTCTACTAAGGGATGGTTTAACAAAACAAAGCCTTCCAATGTAAATTTATTTCACTCTAGAATGAACATGAAGCATATGCGTAAGTGTTGGCTTGTGTTGTAAGAGGCTAGAAGATTAGCAGAATAAGATGAAAGTAAGTTTCCTTCTCTTCGTCTCATCAAAATCAAATTTGTATACTTTAATTGGGTTTCTAATTCATTTTAAGTTTTTAATGCATTTGTGATTAATTAGTGACACCTTCATTTGCTCCTGGGATGTCATGAGGGCAATAACATGGTATGATTGAGCCCAAATATATTGCTTGATATCCAAGTAGAAGCTGGTTTACTTACCAACACATTTGTATAGATAATTCGGGTAGTGAATCAAATCATAAAATAGTAGTGGAGTAGTCAAGTATGAACACATTTACTGCAGCTGCAAGTTAAACTACAGTAATTATCCACTTCATTTGTTCATGCTCAATATATGAGAGACAAAATTAATGCTCGATTGTGACACACATGTTTTATTAATATGCATTATAACCTGTCTTAATCAGGGTTTTGAGATAAAAGTGTACTTTTGGGAAATTTTAAGAAATTTAGACACCATCCTAAACAATAAGCATCTTTGCAAATAGAAATTGCAATTGAAGTTTTGACAATCAATTTAGATTTGATTTGCCAAAGATGATTTCCTATTTGGCTAAAATACATGTCTAAGATATACATTAGAACAGCCTTTCCAGGTTACTTTATCTATATTTCTTCATTATCTTTTCAAAACTTTCTCTAAAGTTTGGTTATCGTATGTGAATTAACTAATAAAGTTTGCAACTTGATTTGTCTCTAAACTAAAAAAAATAGTATTTTTTATTAATATTGTTTCATTGTCTTTAATGCGATTGAGAATTATATCGGGTTCTGATTTTGAATTCATTTAAAGTTCTTAATGCGTAAGATTCAACCAATAATATCAATTGTCCATTTTGATGACAGTTAAAAGCATGTAGGAAGCAATTTTCTGGCATAGGTGACACAGACCATCCACACTATGTCACTACATGTGCAAATACAATAGTATCTTTGAGAAAGGACTTAGTTTGAAGAAGCAATAATTGTGGTGTGCATAATAAGTATATCTTAATAGATCAAATACAATAGTATCTTTGAGAAAGGACTTAGTTTGAAGAAGCAATAATTGTGGTGTAGCATAATAAGAATTCTCCGGAATTTCTTAATAGCATCAAATGTTCTGGTGTGCCAAGTCATGAGAAGCTTAAGGTGGCTGTGCCTGTGATGCTTATGAGAAACATAGATCACATTGTTGGGTTATGCAATGGCACGAGACTCATGGTAACTAAACTCGGGACTCATATTATTGAGACTCAGATGATGCCAAGATCAAATGCTGGTGAAAAATATCTTATTCCCAGACTTAGTTTAACTCCTACGGACTTGAAGCTCCCCTTCACGTTTCAGCGCACACAATTTCCTCTTATGGTTAGTTATGCGATGACGATTAATAAGAGTCCAGGACAGTTATACGTTGCGGTATCGAGAGTTACAAGTCCACCCGGGTTAAAATTTGTCACATGTGACGATGATGGTCAACCAAGCAATATTGCTCTAAATGTTGTTTATAAAGAAGTGTATAACAATTTATAAGTTTTTTCATATGTCATTTCTTATATGTTAAATTCTACCCTTCGAATGTTTAAATTATAGTTCTATTATAATTCAAATCCTTACATTCTCGATGAAATGTTTTCCCGTGCGCACGGGTTAAAAACTAGTGATTACCTAAAAAGGAAAGGTAAGCTGCTTCGTTGAGCCTTCAAAAATGCAAATTAAAGGAAGTAAATAGAGCCTGGTCAAGGTTTTTGTTCGACATTCTCCCATTCAGTTGTAGAAAGGGATATATCAGAAATAAATAAAATGATAAAAGGATTATAAGTGGCTTCAGCACTGTCTCAAGGATTGACTTGAGTAACAAAAAGTTAAAAACCATATAAAAGTGTCATGTAGTCGAGTGTCATTAACTTGTCAAATAGGTTCGTCCTTGTTATAATCAAGGGCGGAGCCAGGACATTTTCTAGCCAGACTGATATATAAAGATTTTTTTTTCGAAAAATGATTACATGAAATTTTTTATCTTAAAAATTAAAATATTTTTTAAATTTGCAGTGAGTCAGAGCACGAGCTGCCCCCCGCTCTACCCATGTTTATAATCAGGAAATATATATACTAATTACCCTAAATAGGATTAAAATTAATTAGGAGCCCATGAGTTTTATTAGAAAGAAACTAATAATGATAGTATTTGTGCACTTTATTAATATTGTAGTCCTTTTTAAAGAATTAACTCTACTTATATTAACATATCTTGCATGCATGTTTATATGAATCCTGTAACGCTAATGATTAAAAATTAGTATTAGATAAATTTAGTGAAACCTTATGATATTATCTCCGTCCCGGTGAACTTTGTCAACTTCGAATTAGATAAGAAATAAGAAAAGTAAAAATTTGTGTGTTTGAGATTTATGTAGAAGAGAAAGAAACAAGCAGAATCACAAATTTATTGTTTTAAAAGAATAGTGACAAAATTTTTGGAATGGACAATTGAAGTGCACCATATACTATGATCGAGTATATCACAACAATATTTTTATAGGGAGTAATTGTAATAGAAATTACTCCAAATAGGAGTAAAACTAAAGTAAAATTCAAAAATAGGACCTCTTATATTTTTTCTTCAAATAGGACCAACTTACTCCTATTATGGAACATACAAAAGTTAGCATCTCTTTTTTTTACCCCTACACCTATTTACGTTTCTCTCTCCCCTACCCTTCTGAATCACATGGATCCATATATGCACATCTACGCAGTAGCGTGGCCTGAACCATATCGGGTTGGACTACCGGTGGAGCTTGAGTCGAATTGTGGAGAACAGACGAAACAATATTTTAAGCTCATGATCGGTACTACGTACTCCATATAATATATACACTCAGAAATATAATTACTATTTCCGTTCTTAAATAAAATACTCAATTTTGACAAATAACATATGAAGTATTAATGGGACTATAAACAATCAACTAAGATATTTAATTCCCTATTAATAAAAACGGCTATTGATCTTATATATGATTAAGAGTAGACCTAAATGCAATAATATAACTTATTTCATCATCAAAATACGAGTAATATATGTCTCTTCAATATATTTTGCCCATTTCTAAAATTTTTAATAGATTTATTTTTAATAAAAAATCATAAATTTATTTATAATGAAAACATAAAAATCGTAAAATTATTTATAAATTAATAATAAAATCTTGAAAAAATAATATAAAACTTAAAATAAAAATATAAAAATCAAAATATTCACAAATATTTAAAAACTTAAAAAAATCTAATGAAATAAAATAAAATACTTAAAAATATATTAAAAAAGGAAAGCCACTACCCCCACATCCTCTACCTTGCATAACCACCAGCTCCGATCGACAGAAAAAATACCATTTTGTGTAAAAAATGTCATATTCCTCTGAAAATGTCGTGAAGATGACATTTTTATTCTTTGAAAATATCCAACATTCTTTTCAAAATTGCCATAATGATGATTTCTTTTGAACTTGGCATTCTTTTCTGATGACCAGAGGTGACGATGCTGGAAGGTGGTTGAGTCCAGTATATTTTTTATTTATTTTTTACGTTATTATTTTTTTTAATTTTTTATGTCTTATTATTATTTAAGAAATCCTATTAAGAATGATGAGGGAAACGATAGAATAAGAAGAGTTAGTCTTATTTTGAGAATTTAAACTTTAAGCTCCCACTATTGTAATTTTGCTTTTATTTAGTCCTATTTGAGAAAAAAATATAAAAATCAGATTTTGAAAATTTAAAATGAGAAAAACGTAACAATATTCTTTTTAAAATAATGTATAAACAAATTAATAAATAAAATGTAACATAATGTTACGTTCATTTAAGAATGTAGGTAATACTCCTCGAGGTAATACAAGAATTTTATTGGTGAGGTAGAAGAGAATGCTTGAGTGGTTTTTTTTATCCCACCAAAATTAAAACACTTCTTTTGGCAGGTGAATGTAGATGTTCTGCCAACGTAACGACGAATAAACTGAGAAAGCGGAGGGTGAAGATATATACCAAGTGGTTGCAAGTTATGTAACGAGGAAGATGTGACGGTAACCCATATTTTTAAGGATTGTCGGGCTGTAGCTGCTGTTTGTGAAAAAGTTGGGACTGATTTCCGTCGGCCTGGGTCTTCTTGGCAGGAGTGGGTGAAGAAATTGTTCACTACTTTGCCAAAGGAGGATTTATGCAGATTCATTACTCCTGTGGGGTATATGGAAGGAACAAAATGATGTGGTATGAAATAACAAGTGTTTTAATGCTTTACAAGTGGGGTGTTTCTGTACTTCTAGGATGGTGGGCCGCACAGGGTACCACGGTGGCAAGCAGAGGAATGGGGGCGAATGAGACCAGATGAAGTAAACCGGCTGCTGAAACAATCAAGATCTATGTCGATGGAGCTACTGACGATCATAGGGAGAGACGAGTCTGTGGATGGATTGCAAGAGACCACAATGGGGATCTTATCCGAAGGGGGATGGGAATCTCATGTAGTGGATTGGTCGGCAAGCATTGCAGAGGCACTTGGTCTTCAAGCGGCGCTTACATGGGCAAAGAGTCAAGGATGAAATGAGATCGTCGTCAAGACATATGCACAAATGATCTCGACAAGGTTGGAAGAAAGTTCAATTTTTTTATTTAGATACTATAATTGATGATATTAGACACATTTTCAGATTGTAGCTAAGTTTGTTGTCCAATTCTGTAAACGATCCGTGAATCATATATGTGGCCGATAAACTTACTAGGGTCGCATTATTCAATGCGAGTAGTGGTTCTTTCGATATTAGTTTGTCTTGTATTTTGAGTCAGTTGGCGAGTTGGTGAATGATTGTTTGAATTAATATATGACTTTTCCATTCAAAAAAAACATGAAATCCCAATTACAGCATTAAACTATTTTTTCATCCAATAAATTTCTTATGTAGTGAGTGAGAGCTACTAGACGAATTGAAGTGAAGTAAATACTATCGTACGTAGCACTACATACTTCAAGCGTAGCTAGTAATCACCGAAATGATGAAAGTTCCCAAATCCAGTAAGATCGGGGCCGGCAGCATACTGGGGCGGCTGCAGCATCATTCCGCCGCCTAGAGAATCATTATCAGCCGCGCCAAAAGAAAAGCCATCGCTTTGAGTCCACTGGTTTTGTGGCTGCTGCCATCCAGAGCCATAACCGTCGTAATCTCCAGTACAGAAAGGAGGAGGATGATCATGAAACTGCTGATGATTGCTGGACTCCCCGTTATATTCCGGCACCGGATAATACTGTCCGTAAACATCAGCCGCCGCCGGAGGAGGAGGTAGAGGATGAGCTTGAATCTTGTTGATGATAATAATTAGGGTAGATTCTATGGTACCCATAAGGTACCATACCTTTGTCCACATGGACCAATGAGAATGTAGCAGTTGAATTATTTAAATCTAAATTAAAAATGATAAAATGGTGTGGTCCAATCAAATGAATAATAGGTACGGTACCCCATTTTTTAGAAAGGTACCGGAGTTGTCACCAATAATTAGTATTCACATCACTTGCTATCATGGGTGCAGCTCCAAACCCGTCATTATTATAGTAGTAATTACTGCCGCCGGCGCCGCCTTCCACCTCCATTACTACTTCTTGGACGTCATAATCATCAGTACTGATCATCGTCCCATCTGAAATCTCCCTCTGTTTCGGGTGCTGCTGCTGCTTTCTGGGGCACATACTCTGTTTCTCTGCCGCTGCTTTGACGGCGTCAAGAAGAACAGCCTAGACGGCCGCCGCATTCTCCGGCCAAGTTTCCACCTTTCCGTCTGGAGAAACTGTAACTACACAGAGCCGGACATCGCACAATGTAGCTAATTCTCTCCCTTTTTTGAAGACACTCGTTTTTCTGTTCTCCCATCTCACCTTCTTCAGTCTCCCCTCCCTAGCGTCCATTATATTACTTTGCCTAAAAGCTAAGTCTGAATTTGGTTGAGAGCTCTTCTCTCCTCTCTAGATTTGCCTTCTTATATAGTGTGTTCCTAACAATAATGTATATGGTTGTCAAGCTAGTTGGTAAAAGAAAGGGAAAAGGCAAGTCCCTGTCTCATGTTTGGCAGTTGGGAATTTGGGATATTAGGCCCACTTATGCTACTATCCTTTTGAAACGTGAGATCCTTAGCTTCTTTGCACCTTCATAAATGCAAAGTAAGTGAAGTAGAGTTGGTCTATTTTCTACTCCTTGTCCCTAATAACTTTACCAAATTTGACCGACATTGAGAATAATAAAGTAAAAACTGTGTGGCTAAGGTTTGTACAGAGGAGAGAGAATGAGTTGGAAGCACAAATTCTTACTTAAAAGAGAGAGTGACAAAGTTAGTGGGACATCTAAAAAAGGAAAATTGGCAAAGTTATAAGAGACGGAGGGAGTATTTGGCATTGTCACCATATATTTAAGCGCATTTACGTTTTAGAAAGGGGTGTGATCTGAGATGAACAAAAGTCAGGTGGCAACCCTAATTTTTAGGGATTTAAATAGCGGTCCGTTGTGGCTATTGCGACCGCTATATAGAGGTCTCGGTAGGCTCTCCTACCAATACGGGGTGCTATTGTGATGTGAATAGGAATCACGTCGAAATCCCCTACGCAATCGCGATGCAACCGCGACGGATCCGCTACACTGCCCGCTTCACGCCACTACCAGGCATAACCGACATCGACACCACTGCATCACCAACAGCACGTTGCTTTGTTTGCTTTCCGAGAAACATGTTGAGCTGATGTGTACATGCTATGAACTACGTACATGAATGTGTAAATGTGTTGGTAATAATATTTAGTTTAGCAATCTTTCTAATTACTATTCTCTTTTAACCGTCATATTTTTCTTGGTTGATTCATTGTTCACATATAAGTGTTCAAAAGAAGTATTCATAAAGTTTCTATTAACTTTATCATCCATTAACTCAAATAAACAAATTTATGTTCGATATAATTAATGAAGATTTGTTAAAGAATATAAAAAATCATGATATTTCTTTCTTGTATGCACTTGAAAATATTTCACGTCACTGCGACCAGTATACGCATAGCAGCGGCCGCATTAGCCGCTACCACGATGATGACCGCTACCGCTATTTAAAACCTTGCTAATATTGTGGATTTGCTTGCCAAGAGATGGCTTGGTTGGTCATTTTTTGAAACAACCATATGGAACATGCATGGGTACGTAGATCAGTTGGTTAAGCAGTGGGAAAGTTGAAACATTGACCAAGGATCGAAACCCGCAGGGACGTATGGAGGTTACATGTAGCACCGTCCCCGAGCACATTTACTTTTTAGCAAATTATGTAATAAACCTTGATGAATCAATCACGAATTTGCGAAATTGTGAATTTTTATTATTTCTTTTGCGTGAATAGTAAATTTCACGTGGGGCCCACACCGGGAACGGGGACCGCCCGATAAGTCCAGGATCACATATTATATTCATCATAGTCTAGATGATATTTATATGGTGGTGGATATTTTAGTAGGCCCATAGAAAGAGCATAGAGTTGACCCGTTGGTCAAACGAGGCCCAAACACCAGTATTGGTAATTTATCGGATAATAGTCCGAAATGAATAAAACAGTCCGAAAAATACAACTTTCGGGACCGATTGTGCACTTCTGGACAAAAAGGGGTGACCTCCCACACAAGTGGGGGCCAACCCACGAAATTTCCAGCTCTTGGAGGCTGGCTTGAGATTATTTGTGGCTGAAATCCATTGAAGGGATGGGGGAGACCATTTTGACACCTAAGGGATCCCTAACCTCACCCATTTGTCAACCAAAGACAAAAGTACCATCCTCCCTCCTCTCCCACTCATTGTACTCGTCCAACACAAAGAAAGGAAGGCAAAGTAGCTCTGAAACCTCACCTTCCATAGCCAACTCGAGTCCAAGCTCAAACAAGAAAAAGAAAGAGGTTTGGAGAAGAAAAAAGATAGGAAAAGTGTAAAGAATTGAGGAGCTTGACTAAAGTGTTCCTAACTTTCGCCGAAGTTTCGCCGGAGTTTCGCCGGAGTTTCGCCGGAGTTCACCGGAGTATCGCCGGAGTTCAACCGAGAAGGGTAGAACTTCTTTAAGCTCATTCGAGGTGAGGATGGCTGACTATATTGCTTATAATTAGTGAGTTAATTTCATAAGATTACCTAAGGTATTAAATGTGATTTTCATGGATTATTAATAGATAATAATGCCTAAATGAAAATACTATTGCATGTGAGTAAATAAAGCATGATATACAAATTTGGAAGAAATTGTGTATGATTATGTGATATGAAAGAAATGGCATGATAATGGAATTAACTATGAGAATGTTGTGATAAAATATACTTTTAATTCATGTAAGGAATTCATGAATGGAAAAAAGTGATATTTTTGATATTGAGATTTAATCATATTTGGATAGGAAAATCCATTGAGATGAATTATTCGACTATGAATTAAGAACTTGGTTGTTCTAAGATTATCCGACTAGTATTGAAATACTAGTCGGGAGATTAATGCAAATAAATAATGGAATTTATCCTAAGAGATAGGATTGTGAATGGAGATGCCTTAAGTAGTCTTAAGAGATACTTTAGGGTCGAATTGCATGAACACTAAGGTGTGTTAGGGGTAGGCCTAAAGGCTACCTAAGTGAATTGAGTCTAGGCATAGTATTGCTTGAGATATGGACTATGAAAATAAATTAGAGTCGGACTCTAGGATTGCATGGGAATGTAGTTGGGCCAAGCCCTTGCCATGTAATGTGATTAGCATGGAAACGTAGTTGGGCTGAGCCCTTGCCATGTATTTGTGATCTTCGTGGAAGCATAGTTGGGCCGAGCCCTTGCCACGAAGTTATGGTTAGTATGGAAACGTAGTTGGGCCGAGCCCTTGCCATACAATTTTAATGTGTTAAATTGAGTTGAAGGGTTGTATAGAAATGTAGTTGGGCCGAGCCCTTGCTATACAATCGGGACTCGAGGAAACCCTATGGGGTTGTCGTGACTTGTAGTCACGGGGAATTAAAATGGTAAATTCTAAATGAATATGGGTCCACGAGCCGACTACTTGACTTTATATACAGTAAGTATAAATTTTAAAAGGGGTAACCGAGGGTTATGGCCTATAATATATTATCACCCTGGATTGAGAGTCTTAGAAATTGAAACATTGATTATACTTAGTATAGTTGTCATTGTACTTGTCAAATGCTTCCAAGTACTGACCTCCCCTTCACGGGGGAGGCCACCTCACAGTTTCAGGTAGAACTTGAAGGTTGCTGCCACCGCCCGTTGCTTCGGGAAGATCAAAGGAAGAAGACGTGGTTCGTGCTTCTTCCGTTTCTGTTTTGAAAACAATTCAAATAATGCTCATGGATATTATTTTCTGAATAATTATTTTGAAGGCTTGTATGCCTTGTTATGCCAAGTGTGGCTTGAACACTTGTAATATTGTTTCCGCTGCTTAAATGAATGTTTTTACATTATGTTTGTTTATGGATGTACTATGTGTGAATGATATTCCAGACACCTTGTATTGTATGGATATGCTGAACTGCGGTTGACAATTCATACTGTACGGTGGGTTGTTGACGTGTCCGGGTAGGTCCGGGGCGTGACAATTTAATTGGTATCAGAGCCTTAGTCCGTAAACATCATAATGAAGCTTCAAAATTCTTTTTGAGAAATGAATTTGAAAACCATGAGCATAGAAAGTTTTGTACTTATGGAACTTTTGGTACTTGAGTTGCAATGTCTCTAATTGTTAAGATGGTACCCTTAACAATTGGTATGGCGGTGATTTGAGCCAAAGAGGGTCGTTAAGTGCCTATCCGTCATTTGACACTTGATACGGGTCTAATGACTCATTCTCAATTTCTTTCAGAAATGGAACGTACCGGGAAAGTAACTAGGAGGAACCCGACTGGCCGGGCACCGGGAGGGTCCATGCAAGGCAACAGGGGGGCTTCTAGAGTGTCCAGGGGACAAGGCCGTGGAGGCCAAGATCAGACCATGAGTGATGGTCATGTGGAAACAGTGAATGAGTCTTATGAGTCCGAGGAGGATTCAACGTATCAACCAGAAACCGAGCCGGTTGAGACCCCATTTGATGGGGAATATGACGATGACGATGATGAGGAGAGCGACGATGATGGCGCTCTAGAAAGGATGGAGGAACTACTCCGTCAGTACCAACAGGATCGCCAAAGGCGCCGGGCAAGGCGTGCTTTGGGAAGGGCTTCAAGAAGAGGAAGCCATGTGGGTTCTAGGGGACATGTAGAGTCCCGACAGGATCGAGGTGCTGAGATCACAATAATAAGGATCTCAAAGTACCTCAAAGAGGCGAGAGACTTGGGGTGAAAACCGTTCGATGGAACGAGGGACATCTCCATTACGGCCAAGTGGATCAAAAGATTCAACGAAGCGGCTCTTGATATGCAGCTGCCGCCGAACATGAAAATGAGGGTAGCAACGAGGTTGCTAGAAGGAATGGCGTCCACGTGGTGGGACGGAGTCAAGGGGAAGTATGGTGAGAATGTCACTTGGGAGAATTTCCGCCAGGATTTCTTCAACCAATACTACTCCGATTACGATGTTAATATGAAGAGACGAGAATACACTAACTTGACCCAAGGAGGCAAGTATACAGTGAGGCAACTCGAGCACAAGTTCAGGGAGCTTGCGGAATTCATACCGGAATATGCTTGTGATGAGAACCGGATGGTGAATCACTTTTGGGATGCCTTAGACTTAGACGTGCGTGAGAGGGCAACACAATTGCCTAACATGACGATTAGTCAATTAGTGGAGCAAGGCCTGAAAGGGGAGAAAGAATGGGAGGAGAGAAAAATGAAAAACACCGAGGAGGCGAAGAAGAGGAAATGGGAGAACACCGGCCCTCAAGGTTCTAACAAAAAGGGGAACCACGGGGGAGGTGGGTCTTTCAGAACCCCTGCA